AAATGTTTTCCTTGCTTGTGATCCCTGATTAATAGCTGAACATTAAACAGAATGCATCTTGATTGTGGAAAGTTGTGAAATTACCCCTTTCTCTCATCTTTGGGTGAATCTGTCTGTTTCATTCGAAAACTCTTGAATGTTTTTTTTAAAACAATTCATATGCACAGAGAAACATACAAATCCATACTGGTTATTGTCAGATACTGAGAATAGCCATATGATCAGAGTATGTACACAAGACCTGATAATTATTTGGACAACCAGGGTTAGAACTAACACAGCAAGTGATAGAGTGCTCCAGAAAAACAACATAGAAAGACGACTGTATGCTTTGCTCATTGGCTGAAGCTCACCTTTAAGAATTCCAGAAAAGCAGGTTTGGACATGCATGCCTTCTTAATGAGAGCCATGGCATTGGTGAAGTTGTTCACATAATCACTGTATACATCCAGCACCATTGACTTGGAAAACTGAGAACACAGAAACAAGCATAATTATATGGATTTGTAACAACAGCCTTACAAGACAAGGCTCTAGTGCTCTGCCATGTTTGATTATTTTGTGTTTACACCAGCAGCCACAAACACAGTTTTGTAATTTCCCCTGACATTTTGAATGTCTGGCTAACCGCCCTGTTAGCAGAGCGACCTGTGGGTAATTTTAATGTAAAGACAGGGTTAAAAATGGCTATTTAAGTATACTACTTAAAAAAAATTGGTTTGTTTACCATCCAAATTACTGCAACACCTTTCAAAAGTCATTTAAGAGATGGGCAAAAGGAGCGAGATGGCACAAAGTGTGTGAGCAGGAGGGGGTGTGTCTGTTGCATAGTAGACATTTATTCTCTCTCCTCAGTTAAACCCACACCAGGCTGATAGTGGCAGGTTGAGGAGTAGTGGGGAATTAGCAAACCACATGAAGGAATTAACCCTTTGCTCACACCCTCCTTCAGAATCCTGCCTCTCAGATATTACTGTAAGTCCCACAGGTACAGATATAAATAAAGAGGCTGCTTAATGAGGAGCACACAGTTCCAGCAATTTCTGTTTCCCAGAGGTCTTAACATATCAGTGGAACAGCACTGCAATGGCCAACAGAGAAGGAGAGGGTCAAACTGGCCCCTCTAATAGGCAAATAATGAGCAGACCTTATAGATGAGCATACTACAGAGGCTCACAGCAGAAAAACTCACACTGAACACTATTATTCTACAGCCAAAATCTGTAAACATATATCCCAGAGAGCACTGTATGCAGTGGAGATATTCATCACAACTGTAATTGATTTCATGTTTGGAGTAAACTGTCCCTGTCTGCTCACTTTAAAACCTGTTGCCCATTATAACTCAATAGCAGACACTGCGTTATAAAGTTAGACAGAAATGGCAAGAAATATGCCACTGTGTCTGTCCAGAATGTTAGGCCTTGCAGCTTAGACAGAAGAATACACACCAACAAATACACACATACAGCGTCCAGTTTGCATCTCAGTTTCACACATATACATATTCATGCTTAACACACACACACACACACACGCACACACACACACACTCGTACACACTGACCGAGGCAACAAATAGGTCTCCAATCTTCTCACTGCTGTCCCACTCAGCAACACGTGATGCCAGTGCAATCTGAAACATGGAGTGGCACTGTGTGATCTCCCTGATTCGATAAAATATAGGCCGGATTTTCCGTGGACTCAGGATGCGTGGATCAGCTTCAATCAACGGTCTGTGATATTCCTAAAGAGATTGTGAGACAAAATTGGTTGTTACTCTTATTGTTATGTGTGTGAGAGAGGGGGTGTGTTTAAAATGAATCAGCACTACACCTTCTTTAAACATCTCTAAGAAAATGTAGTCATGGTCCCTAGAAGCACATTAATCCACGGAATTCATGTATCAAGCAGCATTTGCCACTAGCAAACATGTCCAGGGCTCAAGGTGACTTGTAATTATAAAAGCCAAAATAATAACATCAAAAAGCAGCTCCAGCAGAGTTACAGATGCTAAAAGCAACATAGTAAAGGGAGCACTGATTGATGCTTTAGTCAGCACTCATGGGGATATTAGCATAGCCTACAGAAACAAGTTGACAGGCTCTGCGTGGATGGTAAGCCAGTAAATATGACTTCTTTGAATATGCTTAAGTATAGATAATATGTACACGCCAAACAGGAAAAATGAAAAGCACATTTAGCATCAAAATATAATGCATCTGCACAACAGTGGTGGTTTATTTCTTTCTTTGATGTTTTGCAAGTTTCCACAAATCCATAAAAGTAAACTAACAGACAGTGGGAACACGGGCAGACGGCACAACACGAACAACTGTGCAATGTGTTTTACAGTAGGAATGAACGTTACAACCATCAGTGTCTTATTGCACTTCTGGGCTTTTATCTTTTTATGCTATCTGCATGGAGACACTGCATTCAACACAGGGCTGGACTTTGAATAAGAAGAGAGATTTCAAAAGGGCTAAACCTCCACATTCACACACAATCATGTCACTCAACATCAAAGGTGGTGCAGTGTATTCGATAGCAGAAGATTTTACAATGCACAAGGCAGTCACTGATTGTTGTTGATTCCATTTCAGTAGGTGCTCCTCTCATTCTTCCACGATGAGAAGATTGCAAGTCTCCTTTCCCCACTAAAAAGTGAGATTAAACAGGAGAAGCTGCACCCCATCCTGCACAAACCTGACAGTCTTTCTCTCTTTCTTAGCATCAGCACAATGCCACAGAAATGAGGACGGCTGCTTTATCAGGATTATTTATCCTGAGACACCTTGGGTAATTTGATGGATATTGCCGCTTCTCTTTTCAGTGTAATTCATGATGGCTAAATGGTGAAAATATTGCATGTGGCAGATGAGGACAACAGGGACTTAAACAACTCACCTGCAAGATTCTCCTGAGAGACTCCAGGTAGCTCCGCTCGCTCTGAATAATGGAGCTGAGGATATGGCGTCTGACAACCTGCGTAGACAACAGACCAGTCAGGAAATCTAGCACTAAGAGGACATGATGGGGCTGTGGTGTGCGGCTTGCTTTCAGTTAGGTATGGCACAAGTTGATGGATTGCACTATAATCATATGTTTGGCACAGGAGGAAAGAGGCTTGAAAAGGAACAGCTCTGTTTGAACAAGGCTTCCACTGAAGGGCTGAATCATTGGATTTCCTATGACATGAAAGGGACTGTTCTAGCTTTTCCACAACACATTGCTTTTCCAAAGAGAATAAAGAGCACATATAGACGTTTAAAAATACAAAAGTAACAAATGAACAGCCTAGAGCCTTACCGCTAGGCTGATGGCTAGATGCTAAGTGCATTATAGGTTTCTATATAAGCTGCACTTGTAAGAAAGATTAAGAAGAAATATTTGCAAAAACTGTCAGGTCACCTGGTGGCTGGTCAGCTTCTCAGGCATGGGGCTCAGTTGTAGGGGAGGATGCTTCCCTTCTGGCACAGCTATGTCCAGGTATCCTGCATCATCCTCCTCTTCTGCAAGCATTCAGAAATAAAGTAGAAAGATACAAAGAGGTTGAAAAGAGAAAGCTTGTGTAAGGATGTGTGTGACAGAAAATAAGACAAAGAGGGAACAACAGAAAGGCAACCTTCAGATCTCACTGTGGCCCAAGTCACACTGCAACACACAAAGTTTATTATCTCTAATATGAAGAGACTTCTGAACTCTGAAAAAAGTGAGAGAGCAACACGAAAAGGAACAACAGAGAGAGAGAGAGAGGCCTTTGAAAAGAAAAAGAACTTTCAAAACAATACTGTATGTCTGTAGGAGTAAGAGGTACACAGCAGAGTGTCTGCATAACACAATACAATCTCCGCTCTGGGCAGACACAAAGACATTTATTTGATGGTCTCAAAAAAATAGTCCCCACTTCACCCGTACCCATAAAGACACAGATGCCAGAAGCTTCCACTGTTCCAATTAAAGACTTTGGCGTGATAACAGAGGACTGGTGCAGAAGAAACATAACAATATGCAGATTTCCCTGGATCAACACCTAAAAATAGCACTGGCCTCTTTACCTCTTTGTGATGGCTCAGGGGTTTGTTTGAGACCGAGGTCTGGTATCTGTGGCTCGTGAAGCTGCTCAATACTCCATTAATGGTTTGCTAATCTCCTTCTGTTGTTGGGCAAAGGTTCCTAAAACACAACCTATGTTGTACTGCATGGGTTGCTTCATTCTTTCTTTTTATTACACATTAAAAACTTTGCTCAACTACAATGTTTGTCTTCAAACTGACTGGTAAAGGTGGAGATTATTTTAACTACCTTATATGTTTATAATTTGACTTACTGCTGGGTAGCTTGTGAATTTTCCACTGATGATCAAGAAAATCTTATGATTAAACTGCATCTAGTTTTATTCTGATTCTGAAAAATAACTAGCAACTAAAGTGTTAGGTCCGCTCGGCGCGACCTGCCTCTTTTCCGCCTTTCTCTCCTCTGTTCTCTAGACCTGCGGGATTCGCACCTCAGCTGTGTTGCATTCATAATTAGTGATTCGTTTGTCGGTGCACACAGCTGGGGTGCATCCCGGTGATTGTCTCCCTCCTTATTCATACCTCTGGCTGATGCGCCGCCGTCGCCGGAGCATTGCCCGAAGTACGTGCCTTATGTGCGTACCTCGCTACAGTAACATGCATACCCCGTAACAGCCCCTTCTTTCATGGTATGTGTTTAATGTCTTTTGTTTTCCATGCTGACAGTTCCTGTGCTGTGGACTACATTGTGTACGTTAGTCTTTTTTGTGTCTGTGTTTAGGCTAGACCTTTTTGATTTCCACGCTGACAGTCCCTATGCTGTGGATGTCTTTTTTGTTGTTGTTGTCGTTCGCCAATCCTCCTCCTTAATACTTCTTTTCACCTGTCTGTCTTCATCCTCCT